TGCAAACTCGGTGTTCTCAGATTAGCTGAGGGTGGCCTGAAGGGACCAATTTACTGAAAATAAGGGAAACAGGTCCCCAGGCCAAATGTGGTGGCTTGTACTGGTAATCTTTGCACTAGGCAGAAAGGAGTTAAGAGGCCATCCTGGGATATATAGTGAATTCCAGGCCAGCCTGGCAACAGTATGAGACCCCGTCTTTGAAAACTGAAAGGATCACCAAGCATGGTGGCACTTGACTTTGATCCCAGCACTCAGGAGGCAAAGGCAGGCAGATCCCTGTGAGTTCAAGGCCAGGCTGGTCTACAAAGCAAGTTCCAGGCTTTTGTTTTTTCTTAAAAAAAAAAAAAAAAAGTGGGCACCCTCTCTTGAAGGCCAAAGACAGCCAAGATCCCAACCCTACCCCCTCCTCTGGGGGTCTTTTCTCCCAGGATAGCCCCAGCCAAGAAGGGCAGTCTCCTAGCAGAGGCTGCCCACCACCAAAAGCCAGTCCCAGGCGCCACCACCTCCATGCGGCTTCCCCTCTCTTCTCGCTTCACCACACTCAGAATTTTCTGTCACTTCTGATCCGTTTTCTTCACCCAAAAGAACATTCTGGTGATTTTTTTTTCTAGTGTAAACTAGACCACAGATCACAGTCTCCACTTTGGAGCCTTCCAATGGCTTCCCAGGTCAACTCAGAATGAAGCCCAGACCCTTTAGGGCCCTCTCTTTCCCCTTCTTCTCTTGCTCTGTCTGCCCACAGCATTCCATCATGGCTCCCTCCTCAGACCTTCTTCCTTGCTGTCCTTTCTGGTTGCCACATTCTTCCCTGAGGGAGGCACACTCCAGTGCCTTGGGTTCCCTCTGCTGCTCATTCTGCATGTTGCTTGGCACTGCCCTGATGCTGTCCTTAATCACTTACTTACCCACCTATCTGGTTTCGTCTTCTTAACCTATCTGGATCCCTGAGTAGGTACCCTGACCACGTACTTAGCCACAAGGTCCTGGGGCAATGATGCCTGGCACATAATAGGTGCTTCATAAATGGATCCCTATTCATTCACACTGTTCATCTAGTCCTGGAATCCAGGAACGCCAGGAGCTGAGTATCCAGCTGGACCAGGTGGTTGGCAGTGGTCTACCCTGGGTTCTTCCTAACCGTGCCTCCAATTCATTGCTAGGGGCAGGGAATCAGAGTGTGGCAGCTTCCTTCCCTTTGTTAGGACCTGCCTTCCCACCTTCTTCTGCAAGGAGGCAGTCACAGGGTTCACCCTCCCTCCCAGTATAGATGGATCCAAAATCCAAGGAGTTAAAATGGTTCTTCAAACTGGTGTCTGGTGGGGTGGGTCAGAGTTTTCTATTTAGGAGATATCTTCCCAGGCTTCTCCTGGTGTTAAATCATTCCTCCAAATTAGCGGGAATGCTTGTTACCAAGCCAGCCACCTCCCATTAGGCAGGAAATGTGCCTTTCCTGTGGGAACCCCCTCCCGACCCTGGCCCATCTCCTGTCACTCCCTGGAAGTGGATGGTAGCTGTCTAGAGCCACGGTCTTTCTGGTATGTGGGGCTGGGTAGAAGAGGGGGATTGGTGGATGAGACTCTCTTCCCTTAGCCTTCCAGCCCTGTTGAGACGGCACTTAGAGCAGGCTATTTGTGAAGGCATTGAGAGACCAGAAGGCTTACTTAGGGAAAAGTCTCTGAGGAATTCATTTCTTCCATGTCCTACGTCGTGGTTGGCCGAGGGGTGCTCTGCGTTCCAGGTATGTGAAACTCCGCACTGCCCAGCCTGGTGGCCCCTGGAACCCCCACTGCAGGTGTGTGCTCCTCTGCAGCCCTGGGCAGCTTTTTACAGTCGTCCGAAGACTGTCTTCAGGGAACCAAAACTGATTAGAAGCAGGCCCACCCAGTGCAGACCATGTAATAAATATTAGCTAACAACAACAATAATAATAAGTTTGCCGACATCTCCCTTGCTGCCAGAGCGAAGTGTCAGAAGCACAATTACAGACTAACGAGTTTAAAAAACAAAAAGGCAACACTGGGCAGCTTCAGAGCATCCTCCTTTGACTCATTAGTGGGGCATGTGCCCCAGGGCAGGGAGCGTTCTTCAAACTCTGGCATTGTATCATACAGCAGCAGCCTCTTTATGCTGAATCCAGGCAGGTTTCTAGAGACTTTTCTCTTGAGTTCGGCAGGTGGAGGGAGGGCCTCTTTAATCTCTAGGAGGAGGTCCCTTTTATTAATTTATCTAGAAAATGGTTGCTGGGCTCCTGCTGCTTGTGGACCTGTGCTCAGAGCTGCAGATACCCAGGAAGAAAACAAGACGAGCCTCGATCGAGTCGACTCCAAATAGAGTCTACTCCGATGCGGTGGAGACTGCCAACAAACAAACGACCCAGGGGATGATGGGAAGATACTGTGGGGGACCTTGTGGGGTGAGCCGAGAGTCTGCAGTCTGGGAAATGCATCTTCCCAGACCCACAAGGACCCATCTGAACCTGGACTTCGGAGCCGACCAGCCAGCTCCTTTGACCCATCCAGAAGATCAGGATGCACGCTTCAACAACGGATCTAAATGACAAGGGTGTATCCTGGACAGGGGGATGGCTCAGTAGGATCCTGGGCCAGAAAGCAGAGCAGCCAAGCCAGAGGCCTGCAGCCCAGGGCACAGGAGCTGACCCTGTTGACCGGGTCTGGAAGGCCTTTGTGACAGGGTCCTGTTCTAGGAGCATCACTCTCATCCAGCCTGCCCTGGAGGAACTGGCTGTGGTTCCATGTTCCAGCTCTACCCTGCCTCCTTTCAGGGAAGAAATGGGACTGATGGATATTTCCGATCCCACCCCTCAGGTTAGTGTCTGACTGGGTATACTGGTCATGTGTCCCTTACCTGGGACGGTAGAAGATGCATGGGGGAGAAACTTCCGTTCCTAGAACTAGAGATACAGGTGTAGAAGCAACACAGACAGCAGAATGTAAAAGAGAGGTTGGGAGTATCCAGGAAAGAAGGCCAGCCCCGATGCTGGGGCTGGGAGTATCCAGGAAAGGCCAGCCCCGATGCTGGGGCTGGTCCTGGGCAAGGACCGTTCCCACCAGGCCCTAAAGAACTTGGAGATATCTGTGTTGTTACTCACTCCCAATGTCTGGAGAGATGTAAGCTGCCCAGCCCCACCCCCCATTCCTACTCTACCCACCCTGCTGTGCCCAGGCACAGAGCTCTGCAGTGTATGTGTGCAGTTCATAGGCCACAATGGTAATATGGAGCCCAGCGGACAGAAAATGACCTCTGGGGACCCATGCAACATTTCTGCCACATGTCAGTGCATACAGCAGCAGGTCAGCCCCCACTGCAAATTGTTCATGCCTTGGTTCTATCTACACAAACAAAGCTCTTTTCTGGAAGTGAGAACTCATTTATTCTAGAACCAAGCACAAATGAGCATGGCTAGAAGCACAGATATCGGGTGCCCTGAACACTGTGGCCCAATGTGCTGCCAGCTGCATGAAGTTTCTGTAAGTATAAAACCAAAGAAAGCCATAAATCAAGGTATCTCAAGCTCCCTGGTAGCTACAGCAGACAGTGGTCTGCCATAGGCCTCAGACGTTACCTGACTGTGTTCTTAGCTTTGGGCTTGGTAGCAGCTAGGGGTCTGTTAATATATTCCAAAGGTTTCGTCTGACAGGCGTGGGATGTAAGAGTGGCTATTAAGGAAGCTAAAGAGATCATTTGACTCAGGATCAATATTCCAACTCATCATAATTTCAGTAGTTCTCATTAATCCGTCTTAACGACTCCGTAAGGTGTGGCTCTCCCTGGGACTCCAGCTCCCAGCCACTCAACTCATAACGAGTATGTAGCCAACAAGCCAGAAGTTTCTTCCCAGCAAGCAGGACACACAGGGAGAAAGACTAACAGACTCAGCAACCAGGAGCAACACCGTAAGTCTGCAAGGCTCTTGAGGCCTCCAGCTCCCATTTTCAGTGTTTCTTGGGTGCCTCTGTGTGCTAGCGCTCACGCTAGGCTCTGAGGGGCGAATACCTTCAAAGCCGACAAGAACTCTGCTTCCCTGGAACTTAACTCTAACGAGATGGAGTTTGTCAGCAGCGACTTTTCAGGAGGGGTTCTGATGATGTTGGTGTTGGGGGCTCTTTCAGGGAAGGCCTCCCCCCCATTTTCTCATATATTTATTTTTTAATAATTTAATTAAAATATAATTGTATGATTTCTCCCCTCTCCCACTCCTCCCAGGTCTAACCTGCTTCCTCCCATACTCTTCTTTAACCACCATTGTTTTATATATATGCATATATGAATCAACATATAAATATAACTGAGTCCATTCAGTACCTGCTCACACTGTGTGTGTGTGTGTGTGTGTGTGTGTGTGTGTGTGTGTGTGTG